GAAGGCCCGTGCGCAGCGAGCTTGCGGCGACGCGTTCACGGCGTCCGCTGCAACAGCAAAGTCATCGGCCAGGAAGCGTGAAAGTCCAGGTGCATCTCAAGAATGCAACAGGACAGGTAAAAAGTGTCCAAACGCGGCGTTGCGGACGCGCATGGTCAAGAAGTCGGCAAGGACACGTTCCCGTCGAGGCTAGTGGCATTTCCAGGGGCTGCTCTGAGGCTTGGCTCGGAGATGGAAGGGCCGGGCTACTTAACCCCAATGCCTCTCCTCTCGCGTCTGTCTTCGACGTTCTTGAGTCCATTTTCCTGATCTGCCTCCAATCAATACGCGCCTGCTCCCGATCACCCAACCTTACTCGCACTCCCCCGCCACACCTCATCACCCGTCCAAGGCCCAGTATACCGCGTCCCAAGTCTAGGCGGCTGCACCCACTACATCCGACATAATTAATACCGCGCATCCATCCCCGTCTGTCTGCATCCGCATCCGCTGCACACACTAGCGCTCACCGCCCGCCGTCTGAGCCCAAGCCGCCGTCACCATCCGTGCACCACATCACCAACGTTTGTGTTGTTGTCGCACATCTTGAGAGGGCGCACAGCTGCACCACGCCGTTATTGCCTCTTCCTCTACGCGCTTGGCCCACCACAACAAACGCGTCGGCGCTATAAAGTCTGACTCATCACCGACTGCCGCCTTCGCCCTGCTACCTCGCCGCCGCCACCATCTGGTACGTAGTCACGTGCGTCTCAGCCTCTGCAACATATAGTCCGCAGCTGCCCCTCCCCATCCCTCGCGTCACTCTACCGACGCTAGCCTCACTTTGCGACCCCACCTTTACCGCAAACGCGCCCATCCCTCTTTCACTGCCGTGTCCGTCATTAACACGCGTATACCTGCGCAGTCGCGTGCGCCTAAAACGGAAGTCGCTAACAAGCCCAGATTAGCAACAACATCAAACACACCATATACTCTGTCAGCCGCGCGCAAACCCGTCTTTGACTTTCATGGCCCCATGGCAGTAATGACATCACCTACTGTCGATAAACCCTCCCTGGACCTTAAGGCGAGCGCTTTTGCGCCGGCAGACGCAATGGCAGTGGATACCGAGGCAAACGGGTAAGTCGCTCTTCCCTTCACCTTCGCTCGCCCCTCCTCTCTCACCTCGCGCAACCTACTAATACCTAGTAGTGTTCACGATGTACTCTTCGACGAACCCGACTCCAAGACCACCACCATCGACGATACCACCGCGCAATCAAAACCCACTACCAACGGAAATCACGTAGACATGGACACGTCAGCACCTGCAGTTGAACCCACTACCAACGTGTCCGCCGGAATCGATGGTGTCGCACAATATCTGCCTGAGAACCAGGACAATAATTCGCTGTTCGGCGACTCGGATGTTGGTGCCACGGTAGCGAACGCTGTCGAGGCGCCCACTTCAGACGTACGCGATGAGCCAGCAACTGCAGAGGAGCTCTCTTCAGCCACCCAGGCAACAGGCGCTAGCACGCAGGAAGTGCCCGAAACCCAGTTGGCCGATAAGGAGGAAGGCCCGACTGAAGACAGTATGGACACCACCGCCGATGCGCCTGAAGAGTCAAAACCCTCAGAGTCCTCCGGAGCGCCTACCAAGCCAATGCACGACCTCACGATCAAGACCGATGGCAATACAGCCACTGCGCCCCAATCCGCTGCCGCTCAATCTCCGGCGATCGTAGACCGGGAAATGGAGGATGCCCCGTCTTCTGGCAAAGTGCGCCCCCGCGAGGATGACGATGACGACATTCCCGACGCGAAGCGCACCAAGACTGAAGAGGAGGCCCAAGCCGACTTCAAGCTGCCGGAGTTGCCGAATCAGGCAGAGCAGACCAGTGTAAATGGAGGTACCCCAGGCCCGACATCTGACTCTGCGCAAGAAGCATCAGGTGTCCACAAGGCTGTTGATTGGGAAGAGTGGCCCACCACTCCGATGACGGATGCACAGAACAGGTTTCTTCTTGAGCGGATAAGGAACACGAAGAAGATCAAGGTTTCATTAGCGTTCAAGGATCCTGTTGACCCTGTAGCCCTCAACATCCCGACTTATCCCGACATTGTCAAGAACCCAATGGACTTGACGACTATGGAGCACAAGCTGAAGGACAAAAAGTACACTTACGTAAGGGATTTCATGGCAGATCTCGATCAGATGATCACGAACAGCGAGCTTTTCAACAACAAAGAGCATCCTGTAACGCAGGCAGGTTACAACCTTCGCGCTTACTTCTTGAAAGGCATGGGTAAGATGCCCCGAGGCGCTGCTGCGGAAGAGCCACCAAAGCCAGCCAAGGCCAAGAAGCCGTCGGTGAGCACCTCGCAGAAGGCTCGACGTGAGTCTCGCGTTGCGCCACCCAACGTCAAGTCTCCTGCTGTCGCTACCCCGGCTGCAACGTCGCCTCAGGCTGCCTGGCCTCTCCAGCAAGACGGCACTCCACTGATTCGACGTGATTCGTCCACAACCGACGGTAGGCCAAAGCGAGAGATTCACAGGCCGTCGAAGGATTTGCCTTACACCAACGCAAAGCCGAGACGGAAGAAGTTCCAACAAGAACTCAAGTTCTGCGAGTCTGTGCTTACCGAGCTCATGAAGCCAAAGTACAGTGCGGTTACTTACCCGTTCATCGCTCCCGTAGATCCCGTGGCACTCAACATCCCGTCCTATCTCAAGATCATCAAGAAGCCGATGGACTTTGGAACGATCGAGAAGAACCTGAAGAATGGTGTCTACCAGAGTGCCAAGGACTTCTACGCGGATGCGCAGCTGGTATTCCACAACTGCTACAAGTTCAACCCCGAAGGTGATGCCGTCAACCAGATGGGACACAAGATGGAAGATCTCTTCGAGAGCCTGTGGAAGGAGAAGGCGGACTGGCTTGCCCAGCATGCGCCTGCTCCTGAACACTCGCCAAGCGACCTCTACTCCGATGAAGAAGATGAGGAAGACGAAGAGGAGGAGGAGATAGACCCTGCTCAGGCACAGTTCCTTGCAATCCAACAACAGATTGCTCAACTGAACGCCACAGCGCAACAACTTCTGCAACAACAGACGGGTGGCAAGCGTGCTTCCCCCAAGTTACCTGGCAAGAAGAAGAAGGCTGTGGCGCCACCAGCAAAGAGGAAGAGTCTTCCCCTTGCGGTGCCGCCTCCTGCCAAGCCCATCAAGACTGCTCCGGTCAAGAAGGCAAAGGCTCCTGCGCCTCTGAGTTTCGCCCAGAAACAGGAGATCTCGGAGGGTATCAGTACGCTCGGCGATCTTGATATGCGCAAGGCGGTCCAGATCATCAGAAACGGCTGCCCGCACCTTGCCACCGTGAACGATGATGAGATGGAGCTCGACATGGACGAGATCAACGATGATACTCTCCGCGAGTTGTTGAGGTTTATCAAGTCTCTCCGTAGCTCTAAGGGAGGTGCCGTGGTCGATGATGACTTCGAACCGCCGAGGCAGGTCTCGAAGCAGGCGGCGGCCCGACCGAAGAAGAACAAGCCTATGGGCAAGAGCGAGCAAGAAGACAACATGCGCAAGATCCAGGAGAAGCTGCAGTCGTTCCAGGGCGGTGCATCGGGATCCAGCCAGTCTCCACCTGGTGAGTCGTCAGTACGTGCACGTTTCAATCACCCACTAACCTCTGCAGTGCATGATGCATCTAGCGATGATGACGACAGCGGCTCCGAGAGCGAGGAGGAGTGATCTTCCGTCCATAAGTCCTGCTATTCTCGTGTGACGTCCTGATTCGATGATTGGTCCAATCTTCTTCCTTCTCTTTGACATGATGGAACGTGGGCGTCTGATGGCCAGGGAGAACTGAGGCAATGTCAGTGCTTGCTCAAGTCGGAGGGCATCGACTCACCACCAAACCCATACACAACCAACCCACATCGATTGTATAGTATTCTCTCTTGCACACCGACCACACCCTAGAGGTGCCATGATCATGGTACCAATGCCGATAACGGATTACGAGTGACGAGGTTTGTCTTTTTAGGTCCCTTTGGTCAAAGGCATGGGCTGTAAGCTCCAAGTGGCACTTGGCGGGGAGGTTCGACTGAAAATGGAGGACATGCGAGTATCCTTTTGCTGTATGAGTATGCTGCTCGGGTAGGCAGCCGAGAACAAAATCCAGATAATATTGCCAAATGTGCGTTGTGCCTCGGTGTGTGATGTTCCACGGTCCTTGTGGTCTTGGCTCGGCAGGCCTCGAGAGTGGATGCCAGTGGGTGCGGCGCAGTTGTGGAGCTGGCCGAAAGGGATATCCGCTATCGTGTCGCTTCGCGTGTATGGTTCTTTCGGATATCCATGTGAGTTTTCCATATGTGTGTTTTCAAGGTAGCCCGTGTTCCCTCAGGGTGAAGGAGTGGCCACTAGATGTTCGGGGGAGGAAGTTCCGAGGGGTGACGGTAGTGATGGCGGTACTCAGGGCGCGCACATGGCTAGGTATGCTCCCGAGGGCGATAAACTGTAGCACTGTCAGGCTCGGACGTCGCAAGAGGGAGATCAGATACTGTACGCTGTGTTGGCGCCTCGCTCAGGCAGTGACCCTGACTGCGACGTCGTGTGACGGGAATGGACAGCAACGCCATGAGGAAGGCGCGATGGTCGAAAATGCTGGCAAATGGTAGTGTGCAGTGCAGTCGGTGGAGCGATAGCAAGAAAGTAGGCAGTATGACGGGCGACCCTGAGACAGGCCCGGGAGTGTGAATGCCCTGCTGCTGTGAGTGGAGGCGGAGGGTGGGGATTCCAGCGGGTGACTGACATAGAGCGCCGGTGCTGCGGTCGACGCGCTAAGCTGTGCCTTTCGCGAACTGCCATCCCTCCCAAAACTTCGAGCTCAAGACCCAAACAACGCGCGCCCAGCTGTACATACCATCACCACCCTCCCCACGCGACTGCCATCCACACCCCGATTGCGAATCTTTGCCGTTCCGTAGAATTGAGCGCTTGCGACACGAAAATGACGACTGTGCCAGTCAGCGAAGTCAAGAGCACGCACGATCGCTCATCCAGAACCGCGGCGCATTCCCATATCAAAGGACTAGGTCTATCAAGCGATGGACGCGCAACTCCCTCAGCTGGCGGCTTCGTCGGCCAAGCTGCAGCACGAGAGGTACTTGAGCCCTGCACACTCTCGTTCAGCCTAGGTACTAACTGGCGCAGGCATGTGGTCTAGTTGTCGACCTCGTCAAGGCGAAGAAGATGTCAGGCAGAGCCGTGCTACTCGCAGGTGGTCCCGGAACCGGTAAAACCGCATTGGCATTGGCTGTGAGCCAGGAGCTGGGTACAAAGGTACCATTCTGTCCGATTGTTGGCAGCGAGATCTACTCTGCGGAGGTCAAGAAGACCGAAGCGCTCATGGAGAACTTCAGGAGAGCGATAGGTGCGCATTCACTCGATCTATGAGCACGGGCTCTACTGATACATTGGAACAGGTCTTCGCGTGAAGGAAACCAAGGAGGTCTACGAAGGTGAAGTGACAGAGCTCACTCCTGAAGAAGCCGAAAACCCGCTCGGAGGCTATGGCCGCACCATCTCGCACCTCCTCATCAACCTCAAGTCTGCCAAGGGCACAAAGAAGCTGCGACTCGACCCATCCATATACGAGGCCATACAGAAGGAGCGCGTCCGTCTGGGCGATGTCATCTACATTGAAGCCAACACGGGGGCCGTAAAGCGCGTCGGACGATCAGACGCCTACGCGACCGAGTTCGACCTCGAGGCGGAAGAATATGTCCCTATACCCAAGGGCGATGTGCACAAGAAGAAGGAGATCGTTCAGGACGTCACCCTGCACGACCTAGATGTCGCCAACGCGCGGCCGCAAGGTGGACAGGACATTATGAGCATGATGGGCCAGTTGATGAAGCCTAAGAAGACCGAGATCACCGAGAAGCTGAGGTTAGAGATCAACAAGGTCGTTAACAGGTACATCGACCAAGGTATCGCAGACCTAGTACCCGGTGTGCTCTTCATCGACGAGGTAAGACATTGTTTCTTGAAATTTGGGCTCGACTAACATATGCAGGTTCACATGCTCGATCTCGAGGCATTCACATTCCTAAACCGCGCTCTGGAATCCCCTCTGTCACCTCTTGTCATCCTCGCATCTAACCGCGGCAACACACATATTCGTGGCGGAGAGAACCTTCCTCCATCAGCGCACGGTATCCCGACCGATCTCCTCGCGCGTCTGCTCATCATCCCTACACACCCATACGGACCCGCAGAGATCAAGTCGATTATTTCCACGCGCGTCACAACCGAGAAGCTCAACATCTCTGCACCTGCGAAGGAGAAGGTCAGCGCTCTTGGTGAGAAGATCAGCCTGCGATACGCGCTGCAACTTCTGGCACCTGCAAGTGTATTGGCAGAGGTCAATGGACGGGAGAACAAGCAAATCGAGGTGGACGATGTGGAGGAATGTCAAAGCCTGTTCTTGGACGCCGGAAGGAGTGCGCGAGCACTGGGCGAGACGAACGGATACATTTCCTAGAGGTTGTGCTGTAGTTTGTACGATAGCCTGGCGTTTGGATGCAGAGGGTGGTGGGCGTTTTCACCCAGAAGGGACGATAGCTTTCTGAAAAGTTACACGCAACATGTACTGGGTCTCGATATCACGATAATAATTCGGAACTGTACATTCAGATATGTAAAATGCTGTGATGCATGTCCACGATCTACGAAAATGCGACCTCCGTTGCCACTGTAAGGCTCCGATTGGCTCCGTACGAACCGCGGCCCAGATCGACAGTCAGGAAAGTCGTCCTCGCCTTCGACTCACAAACAACTTTCACTCCACACGCAACGTACCTCGCGCAAGCCACGCAATTCACAACAGACGTCGTACCTGTGCAAACCCCCAACATGGCCGCCACAATGCGCACCATCACGCGCCTCCCACGCCAGCTCTCCCGCCGCACCTTCAGCATCTCCACCCGACACGCGCAAGCACCTTTTGGCTCCGGCCCAGCACCACCACGCCTCCCCAAAGAAGACCAAGAAATCTTCGAAAAGCTACAAAAGCAAAGCACGGGCGCCTTCAGCACCCCCAAAGACATCGAAACCCCCACCTCCACCCCCAACATCCGCATGCGCATCAACCAGTCGCCAGATTCGTCTCCTACACCCGCATCGCCTGCTTCGGCGTCTCGACCCCAGATAAACCAGTCGCCTGATAGTGCTGCTAGTGAAGGACCGGAAATCAGGTTCGAGAATGGCAAGCAGATTAAGAAGGGAGAGGAGTTCCATCCTAATATGAGGAGAGGGGCGCCGCCGGAGTTTGAGGGCGATGTCAATCCCAAGACGGGGGAGGTGGGCGGACCGAAGAACGAACCGCTTAGGTGGGGGAGTACGGGGAAGACGGGGGATTGGAGTTATAATGGGAGGGTTACTGATTTCTGAGGGGGTGCAGAGAGACCAAGTGAACGAGGGAGATGTGGGGAATGAGTGGAGGAACTAAGGATGATGTGGATATGTATATACCAAGAAACGTGAACAAGCCGCTCAATTGTGTTTATGCTATTGTAGGGAGATGGAAATATATTCGAAGACTGACGAGATGACACATATAACTAGTTGCCTCTTAGATCTAACGCATCTTGAAATGCCTACGTGTGAGAACTCGCACCCGCGCCTACCCCAGCCAATTCAGAGTTGTATGGAGTGGTAGTGAATAAGCGGATAATTGCCAGGAGTGAGTGAGTAAGTAGATGCCAATGTTTCTATTATTATCTAGAACGATGCATTCAAGTATCTTGCGAGATGTGATAACCGGCAAGAAGGGTCGATTGTACACTATCAGAGCACAGGCGCGTTGGACGGTAGCAATGCCATTGTACCTAGGTATGTGCGATCATTTCAAACGCATTTGAGATCAGTTACACTGCATACAATTCGTGGTTCGTACATATGGAAAGCGATACCGGAAGCACAGCATACCTAGGTAGATTTCCGCTGCCTCGCACGATATCATGGGGTAAGCTCCGACCTCGGTATCTTGCAATTGCGGAGCATGTGCTAGATGTTCTTTATATGTTGTAGAAGAATACTGAAATATACATGGTGAGGTGTAAGAGTGGTGGAATTTCTAGAACTCTGGTTTGATGGCTTGCATGGCGTTCGGATAGCTTGGAGTTCCGCGGCAGTGCGCTCCCTCGGATCACCGAATCTAACAACGCTCTGGTGTTTCGATGCGGGGTTCATCCGTGCTCGGTAGACTTTCGGATTCCGAAACTGAAGAGTTGCTGCTTGGTTCTCTGTGGCTGAACCGTGGATGAAATTTATTGATCCGCGACCGTTGGAGCGAACCTTAATGACGCACTTGGACCCTGAGGAGGACCATGTGTTTAGGACGAGCAGGTTTCCAGCCGGGCGAGTGCTTGAACAGCACACACCACACTTGAGGTGACAGCCGACAATGCAGCCGGGGCGTACCTAGGCATTCACAAAAGTTGCAACAGGATCAGCCAAGCACGTCTCGACGTGGCTTTTGAACGCCATTCGGGCATCGCGATGAAGCCAAGTATTTCCACATGGGCCTGCGCTGCATCATTGCTTGCTATGATGAGGCCAAGCAACGAGCGAAAACCTACGAATGCAGAACCTCAATGTTTCCACATAATCTCGTGAGGCGGGTGTGTTGTGCAAGGCCATGGTGGTTTCATTCCTGTGCCCAGGTTTCAGCTGTGCTGGACGGGCGTGGCAGGGCCGATCCTGCCCTTTGGGGGGAAGCCGGCAAGGATGTCGCTTATCATCCTTGGAGTGATCAAGCTTTCGCATCATGGATTTAGCTGCAGGTCCCACATGGCTTTCTGATCATCAACGCTGGCCACCCGCCAGCCGCTCTTGTATCGTAGATCTGATCTCATTGTTGTCGTCAATCCTCATCTGCCGTCCCGTCCAGCGCTAGCCATCATGCTGCATCTCGCCAACTGCCCCTATCGCCGTCCTCAATCCGGATTGAGTTCCGCGGGCCTCAGGTGTCCAACGAAACACAGCCCTGGAGTCGTGCAGTAATGGTCTCGGTGTAATTACACCGTCAGCGCGCGCTACGACCTGTCGGTAAATCACCCTGGTCAGCACTATCCACTTCCCATAGGTCTAGGGCTACCCAGTCACAGTGTCTGTCGCATCCTCATGCATGCGAATGGTCTGGATTTCGAATTACCCTGGCTTGATGCTGTGGCTGGCGGCGGTACGTGTTGAGCAATGCAGCGATATGTACCTAGGTAAGACCAACAACAATGTCGCCCGGGCTCTCTTATACCCGCGGAGTCCGCCCTTCTGTGACGTGGACCTGAGTTGTCGTCCTACCACCGACTCAGCCCTCGAGCTTACGTTTGCTAGCAGCACGATGCTAATGTCACTGATTGTTCCCACGGTATGTACTCACACAATGCCAACAGACGCCACCCGTGAATGCTAACGCCTCGGAAATAGTGTACCTTCTCACGCCAGTTCCCGCTATGAAACTATGATGCAATTGACAAGTTCCTTTGTTTTTCTATCTCGTTCCCCTAGAACAACGATCTACCATAGCCCTGCCGCACTATAGCATAGCTCGTATCGGAACGACCCTTCGGCGACAACCAGGGGCAGCGCGGCCGAATACGATACAGACTGTCGAGATACTTTGGGGCTGCCTTTCTTTCCTCGCTTTCTCACACAGCTGTCGACAATGTTTCGTTTGCTGCTTTGTGCAGCGCTTTTCTTTCAGCACGTCCTCGCATTGAAGGAGACCATCGACCTTGGATACGCACAATACCGTGGGAAGGATATCGGCAATGGTGTCATACGATGGGCTGGTATGCGATATGCCCGCAGTCCAACTCGTTTAGATGGCCTTCGATTTGCTGCACCTCAAGACCCTGAAGAAGAGCGCAATGTTGTCGACGCTACAAAGGTACAGAGCGAATTCACGGTTTGTTGACGCCACGCTAACAGCAGTCTAGTTTGGACCCCTATGTATCGGCACCAAGAGCAGCCTGACAGCTGAGTTTGGGGGGAAAAACTCGGAAGACTGCCTGTTCGTTAATGTATTTGCACCAGAAAGAGCTACGAACAAAAGCATGTTACCGGTTTACGTCTTCATCCAAGGCGGTGGCTTCAACATGAACGGCAATGCGAATTACAACGGTGCAGACTTGATCGATGCCGGCGACGATGGCATGGTCGTGGTCAACTTCAACTATCGAGTAGGGCCTTATGGATTCCTGGCTAGCAGGGAGATTGTTGCAAACCAGAGCCTGAGCCTGAACAACGGACTGAAAGATCAGAGGAAGGCACTCGAATGGGTTCAGAAGCACATTCAAAAGTTCGGAGGCGATCCGGGGCACGTCACGATTGGAGGCGCAAGTGCTGGTGGGGGTTCAGTGGTCTTTCAACTTACGGCATACGGTGGTCGAGACGATGGCCTCTTCCACGCTGCTGCTGCCGAATCTCCTGCCTTTCCGTCCATGCGAGACGTAGAGAACAGCCAATGGCAGTACGATGAGCTACTACACCAAACCGGATGCGCGGATCTTGCCTGCATGGCCAGCTTGGATGCGGTCATCTTCCAGGATGCTGTGCGTACTCTTCAGAAGCCTTTCCCAGGCGGCAAGAACCCGCCGCTTTACTTCTGGAACCCGACGTTGGATTACGACTTCATCAAAGACTTCACCTTCAACGAATTGAAAGCTGGCCACTTCGTCAACGTGCCTACTATTTTCGGTACCGCCACAAACGACGGGATCAACTTTGTGGCCAAGAGTATCATGTCTCAACCTCGAGCTCAAGACTTCCTAGTTGATCAATACCCCGGTCTAAAATGGGACACGATTCGTCAGCTTTGGGATGGCAACATTGGAACCACTGGCGATGCTCGCTGGAGATCATTGACCGCCGATGTCTATGGTTATATCCGCTACAACTGTCCCAGTCTCAACATTACTGATACGTACGCCCTCAATAACACGAACCCGACTTGGCAGTACAGATGGAACGTTGGAACTGCATCACACGTTGGCGAACTCCTGCCAATCTGGAACAATGCCACTTCAGCGGCTGGTGTCTTTGTCCAGGCGTACTGGGCATCATTCATACGAAGCTATGACCCAAACACCCACGCTGCAGAGTATCTAGTATCCAAAGGCTCAGAGCTACAGAGCCCGGACTGGCACTCATTCGGCGCAAGCGAAGGGCAGCGATTGAGCTTCAACGACAAAAATGAAGTGGCCATGGAAGCTATTCCCGAGACTGAGTGGCAAAAGTGCGATGCCATCGACGACATGGGTCTGCACCTGAAGCAGTAAGTCCACACCATCTCTAACCAAGCGGCCTGTCATATGCCGGCAGATTGCGTACCGATGATATTCTTGCCTTATTCAGAAGTTACGCCAAGTCAGGAACGTGAGCTAACGATGACCGTAGACCCGTATTCGACCCCACCTCTCTCGGAACTCGGCACACACCTCTTCCATCCGCGTACATGGGCGCCGCTACCATGCTCTTCAG